TTAGCAGCATCAATGCAGACTATGGACAGGCCCTCCAAGATGCCTTCTGTCCAATGCTCTCTGTTTGCCAAGACCCCCAGACCCCAGACCTCAGACCCCACAGGCCAGAAAGCTCCCTGGAAAGAATGGTGTTAGGCATCGAAGCTGTGCAGGCGATCGTGGCAGGAGGCCAGGAGGACGGGCCCTGCCAGGAAGACCTTCTTGTGGCTCTGGAGAGTATTCTTGTCCTCACCAAGGAGGTGGCTCAGAGGGTCCCTGCGCTCCAAGGGCACCCGGAGGAGGGAGGAATGCACATCCTGGACTGGCTTCAGTGGGAGTGGGCGGCCAAGGCCCACCATGCCGTGGCCCAGCTCCGGGCCCGGAAAGGTGGTCACAGCAAGGCCTGCAGACTCCTGGCGAGGTGCTTGAAGCCCAGTGCTGACCAGGAGCCTGCCCAGCCCCAGCTTCACCACAGGGAGGAAGCCTCAGGAGCTGCGGCAGCGGGCAGTGTGGATTCTCCCAGCGCTGCCCCAGGAGACCACCCGGGGAGCTCAGCCAGGACCTGCACGGCCAGTCCACCCATCACTGGCACTATCGCAGCAGACTCGGACATGGTAGGATCACCAGCACCTTTTCTCCCCCCTCCTCAGCCCACTTTCTAGGAACCAAAACCCACTGCCGAGTTCCAGAAAAAGCTGTCCCGGTGCCCACATGTCTAACTCACACCTGGCAGGCAGCACAGGGAGCCTTTGAGAGCCCAGGGTCGGGAGCCAGACTGCCTGGCTGTGCCTGCCTCTGCCATTTCCCAGCTCTGAGACCACAGAGAAGCTTTTTAGCTGTTTTGGACTCAAGGTTCTAGTCTAGAGAACGGGAGCATTGATACCATCCGGGCAGAGGGTTCATGAAGCATCCACGTAAAATACTTGCCCTTGCCTGGCACATAGTAAGTGTCTTGTGCTGAGTGGCCATAGTTATTGGCCTCCCTGAAGTTTCCCTAGTTGCCCAGCTGGAGTGAGTCCCCATTGCTGTGACTGACAGCTGTCCTCCTGTGGCCCTCGCTCCTTCTGCCACTTTTACTCTCCTGTTCCCATCAAGGTTCTTCTGTTTGCAAGCGGCAGGGATCCAGGTTGAATCTGCGTAGGCAAAAAAAAAGGACTTGTTGGGAGGGGGGTTGGTTTGGGCCTGTGGAACACCCTCCAGCACAGTCATTTCTTTCCAGGGCAACAGACAGGACAGTCGGGCAGAGTGGATCCCAAACATCTGATTTTCTTACACAGACTGTGATCAAAGTCAGGGGGAGACTCTGGGCTGGCCGTGCCCTCGGAGTTCCCTAGCAGGGGGCTCAGCTGTCATTTCTGCACAGCCGGCTCTGTGTCCTTTGTGACCTCGTGCTAGGACGCCCAGACCCTCCCAACCCTCCCCTGGGTCCTCTCCCGAGGTGAAGTTGACCTGATCACCTGTCTCTCACTCCATCACTCTTTACTTCCCTTTTCTCGTTAGCATGTTATTACCTTGAGAAGGGGCCCTGTTCCCAAAGCAGCTGGGAAGAGGCGGGCAGTTCCCTTCCCCAGCGTCTTCTAGGCTCTCCCCCCTGCGCAGCGCCTGGGCCCATCAGCTCAGATACCCTGCGGGCTTCCCCTTTGCTGTTTCTCCCCGGGTCTTCCTGACACACACTTAGTGCCGCTCACTTCAGTGACTAGCACACTCCGTGTCTCTCAGCTCACCTGACACAGGAGCGCGTCGCCAGGATGGAGACCACAGCAAGTGGTTCAGCCCCCACCCCCTCTCCTGTCCACGAAGGGTGTCATCTCTCCTGCACAGGCTGGAGCCCTCAGGTGGGGACCGAGGCCCCACGTCTCATGACTCCTGTTCCAGGCCCTCCTCCTCTGCACGTGCTTCCAGAGGGAAAACCACAGGGCGGAGGGCTCCTTCCCAGGGCCCCTCGGTGAGGGCGCAGAGGGCAGGGAAAGGAGGACCAGCACCTATGCTGTGTCTGCCCTGCTCTCCCACTAACTGGGGCCCCTGGGGGCAGAGATACCCCTCCATACAGCCCAGAACATCACCCCGAACCGTGAGCACCTGTGAGAACCTTTCAAGGAGAACATGGTTTGGGAAGGGATTTGTCATCTCCTGGGCACTTGTACATCGCAAGCTCGACATTCTCTCTTTCTAACAAGCAGTGACAGGGCCCCCGACAAGCCCTAGGCTTCCTCATCACGGAAGAGCCTGCAGACATTTCTAGCTAAGGTCCCTCCCTGACAGTCAAATGTGAGACACGTGTTGAAAAGAATATTTCCTGCTTTCCTAACCCTCAGCTCAAGGGCCATCAGATCACCCCTTTGCCATTTCCTCCCTGTTTCCAGTCACTGCAGTTGAGTCGTAGTCTCAGCTGAGTTCTGTCCCTTCCCTTTTTCTCACCTACTCGGGTCTGTCTGCGGAGCCTGCTGGCCCTCGGTGGTGTTTGGTATCTCTCCAGAAAAGGCCTCTGCCCACCCCTGCAGCATTCAGGGGACATCCCAACCTGCCTGGAACAAGGCCAGCAAACAGGCTTCAGAAGGTGGGAGATGATTTAATTGAAGAGGCCAACATAGAAAAAACAGTAGAAAGCCAGGCGACTTCCCAGTGTGCACTGGCTTAGAAAGACCACCACCAGCAGTGGCGTTCAGGGACCCATCTTACCGTCTTTAGATCCTTCATGCCAAGCACAGTGTCTGGCCTGGCGGTGAGCAGTAAGCGGTTTCGATTGCTTGCCAGGATGCTAAGATAGCCGAGACATGCAGAAGAGGTGTGTGTTTGGGGCAGAATGATCGAGTGGGGATGGGGGGGATGGAGTAGGTTTCTAGGGGTCCCGGAGAGCAGCCTGTGGTGAGGCCACCTCCGTGGACATCCTGCCCCACCTCCAGTCTCCCACCTGCTGGCTGCTGCTCTGACAGCTGGACAGCTTCTGAGTGGAACCTCAGTTGCCAGGACTTCCCACACGCCTGCTTGCTCCTGGGCCAGCCTGAGACCAGGCACCTGATGTGGAGCCCACACCTCAGGGTGGCCCACCTAGAACCCAGCCTCCGCGGTCTCCTGGCCTCAGACTCACACGTGTCCCCTTGTCTGCTACACAGCAGCTGCTCACTTAAACACCCACCTGACTCTATAGCTCTCTAAGGTACAGTCCATCTGACCCCTCCTTGGGCGACTTGTGTCCTGACACCACACCGTAGCCACAGGGCCTTCCCGAGTGAGGGGAGCGTGACAAACACAGGACACAGCCCAACAACGGGGCGGGGGTGGAAGGACCCAGGCCACATGCGGTCTGTCCGCAGCCCTGGAGCGGCTCCCTTTGATTTCCATTCCCCTCTTGGTTGAGTGTCTGTCGCATTTACAGCCTCCAACCAAATAGGACCATGAATTTAAAGCTCCTGATTTAGATGGAATTTACTATCACGGCCGCGGACTCGTGCTTTTCCATCAGCTGAGTCATATCCCTTCCGAGGAGTTAGTGTGCTGTGTGGGGCGCTGGGGGAGACGTGGGGAGCAGGCTTGGAGGTGGCCCCCCTCAGGCCCTCCTGCCCATTCAGACCGGGCACAGGCCCCACACTGAGGAGCCTGAGACTGGCTGGTGAGCCANGTCCGCTTGCCTGCTGGCTGCTGCTCTGACAGCTGGACAGCTTCTGAGTGGAACCTCAGCTGCCAGGACTTCCCACGCGCCTNTCCCACCTGCTGGCTGCTGCTCTGACAGCTGGACAGCTTCTGAGTGGAACCTCAGTTGCCAGGACTTCCCACACGCCTGCTTGCTCCTGGGCCAGCCTGAGACCAGGCACCTGATGTGGAGCCCACACCTCAGGGTGGCCCACCTAGAACCCAGCCTCCGCGGTCTCCTGGCCTCAGACTCACACGTGTCCCCTTGTCTGCTACACAGCAGCTGCTCACTTAAACACCCACCTGACTCTATAGCTCTCTAAGGTACAGTCCATCTGACCCCTCCTTGGGCGACTTGTGTCCTGACACCACACCGTAGCCACAGGGCCTTCCCGAGTGAGGGGAGCGTGACAAACACAGGACACAGCCCAACAACGGGGCGGGGGTGGAAGGACCCAGGCCACATGCGGTCTGTCCGCAGCCCTGGAGCGGCTCCCTTTGATTTCCATTCCCCTCTTGGTTGAGTGTCTGTCGCATTTACAGCCTCCAACCAAATAGGACCATGAATTTAAAGCTCCTGATTTAGATGGAATTTACTATCACGGCCGCGGCCTCGTGCTTTTCCATCAGCTGAGTCATATCCCTTCCGAGGAGTTAGTGTGCTGTGTGGGGCGCTGGGGGAGACGTGGGGAGCAGGCTTGGAGGTGGCCCCCCTCAGGCCCTCCTGCCCATTCAGACCGGGCACAGGCCCCACACTGAGGAGCCTGAGACTGGCTGGTGAGCCAGAGCCACTCAAACTTCGTCACTGGGAGTGTCCCATTGGCTTCTGGAGGCCAGGGCTGCCCTTTTCCTTGCTAGGAAATAGCAAGGTAATGGGGGGGGAGGGGGTGTCATAACTATTCATAGCAGAGCTGTAAAGTTCTTTCATGTGGAACAATCGAGGTGCAAGTATTTGGGTTCCCAGAGTTGGAACATTCAGGGATTCCTGAATTTCTTCAAGAAGCTGTAGATCCTTCCTTCTGAGTAAGGCCTGAAAAGCCACCAAGGGAAAGAAACTGAGATTTTAACAGTACTGGGATCTGAGAAGGCCAGGTGCCAGGTTAAGCAAATTCTGGATGAGTGGCCCCGAGTGATGCACTCACTGGTTCCCCTTCTTGCTGTTTGCTGTGGATTTGGAGAAGATGCTAAGAGCGTCTGGCACGTGGGGAGTTGGGAAGCCCTCTCGGTTCCCTCCCTTCTGTAGAACATAATGAAAAGGCCGTTAACTTCCCCAGGGTAGTTGGAAGGTCCGAGCAGCAGGCGTCTCACCAGCTCTGTCTTCTTCCTACAGCAGCAGCCCCACAGGGGCCCTTCCCATGCCCCAGGCCCAGCCTGGCCGGGTGCGGAGCTGGACCAGCCCCTGCAGGACCACAGCATGGGCGACGGGAACAGAATCACCCAGATGACCCAGGACATGGCCGAGGAGGTGCTCCTCATGGCTCAGAGTCTGCAGAGCAGAGGACGCCTCCTGGTACTTGGACTTCAGGGCTGTGGTGGTGGGAGAACTGGGCACTGTGGCGGGGGTGGGGGTAGGTATCCGGCTGCTGCCCTCCAGAGCCGGCGGCTCCAAGCACAGTAGGGCCACACTCCACACAGTAGGGCTCAGCGCTTAGCATTTTTACAAGCTCTCTTCTTTCTCTGTCTGGTGCATCATAAATGTCACTTCCCCTCTCTCTTCCCCTCCTCTTTTGGGCTCAATTACCACAGTTTTGTCTTAGTCTACCAGGGACCATAATCTGTCAGAAGCTGCAGTTTAGTAAAATCAAGGACTCTTTTGTATCCCAGAAGGATGGACTAAGGGAGCTGTTTACATCTTTTAAATTCGCCCAGATAGAGGTAACAGGGCGACAGCCCCCACAGGACCCCCGGTCAGGGCCAGCCCAGCCTGGAGGGGACAGGGCTGCTTTCCCCTGGTTGAGGGGCCAGCTTCCTTCCTGTTGACCTGTCCTAACTGTCTGGCCCTGTCTTGATTCAATATAGTTAAGCATTGTCTCCTAACGCTGAAAATAAATGAAAGAAGCTTATTTCCTGAGTAGGGACCAGAAGGGATAGCTAGCACCGCACCATTTAGAAAACTCCTTCCATGTAGGGCTGCCAGGTATGAAAGGCTCCCAAACCCATGGCCAGGCTGTGTGGGGCCCTATTTCTTGCTCTGGGTGGGAGAAGGGTCCAGATGAGAAGGCGGGGTGTCAGGGTGCTCCCTGACCAGGTGACCGCCAGGCCAAACCCAGCAGCCCCGCCCGACCCTCCACTCAGACCTGTCACCATCCCGTCCTTCCTCCCAGCTCCTGTCCACTTCAACCAGCCAGTTTCCCACTGGAAGGTGACCCCGAGGTCCTTAGGTCAGACCTGGCAGTGGTTACCTCTTTTCGCTGACTCCCATTCTCTTTCCAAACATCTCTGATATCCTAATTCACAGAGGACTTGGGTGCTGGCGTGGTGTGTGGCCAAAGGGCCAGGGATATGAAAACCTTGTGCCCCACGGGGATCCCTGGGAAATGGCACCTAAAGAAGATTCAAAGAATCATTTTAATAGGCTCATGCCTGGCGAGATGGAGGGACATGGAGAATTCTCCCCCAAACCCTCAAATTCCCACCTTCCTACCAGCCAAACTTTAGGCACCAAAGTGGATGGGACATCGATTGGTGGCCTCGCATACGTGCCCTGACCGGGGATCAAACCCACAGCCTAGGTGTGTGCCCTGACTGGGAATGGAACCCGCAGCCTTTTGGTGCACAGGACCATGCTCCAACCAGCTGAGCCACCCGGCCAGGGCAGCGTCTCCTTTCTTGGCTGAGATCTACACCAGACTGCTCTCTCGTGGTCGGAGTTCTCTCTGGCACCTTTGAGACCTGGGTTATGAGTTCTGGAATATTCCAGCCTGACCTCGCCAGTTGAGCGTTTCTCCACACCGGAGACTTTCCACAGCATCACGATATCTCAGGTCTTTGTTCAACACGTATTTCGTGGAGACGGCTTCATGATGCAGGGAGCCCAGAGGTGGTTCCCAGCCAGAGGCAGGCACCGCGGAGAGAGTGGGGGCAGCAAAGCTAAGTTCTGTCCGCTCCCTGAGTGTCCGTTCCTCGTGGCACTTAGGAGCCCCTCGCCTGGGCAGGCGCAGTGACAAGCCCAACTTTATTTTAAATGTTTGCTGACCGCTTCCAACCCTACCTACTCCTTTCTCTTCTCATTGCCCACATCTGGGCAAGCAAATCAGAAAGCCCGGGGCTGCCTCCCTGGTTACAGTGGAAGGTCGGGCACATGGGCCCTGGCTGAGGTGTGGAAACCCCTCCAGCCTCGTCCCAACCACAGTAAAGCCAGGCCACTCTCCTTCGCTGCTGTCCAGCCTTTCATACCTGGTTGGGAGCCTACTCTGCTCTCCCCAGAAAACCTCATGGGAGTAATAAACCTCTTCATGCCGCTTTGGTCCGTGGGTGGCATCACCTGTCTGGACATCTGAACCAGATTTTGGGAGGGAGGGGGTCCATCCTGTCTTTGCCAGAGGCTGTAACAGGACCTGCGGCCTTTCCCGGGGTTTCCTCTTCCAAGCGGTGTCTGCTTTCCTGTAAGCTGCTGAAAGGCCACTTACCTGCTCATCCCAGACAAGCAGCCGAGAGCAGCCCATCTTATCTCAATATTCACAATGATGTGCATTTGAATAAAGGATTCCGTGGCTTAAAAAAAGAAAGGAATGCAATGGACTGGTCCAAGTCTCTCTTTTTAAATGAAGAAAAATATGGCCTAGGAAAATTAAAATTTCCAGTCCGCTAACTACTAGCTTCTGCCACCTCCTATCAGTCCCCACCTGGGAAGCTCTGCATGCGACTGTCCTCCTTCGCACCTTAGCTCCAGCCAAGATCCCTTCAACCAGACATTCCCTATGCCTGACCCTTCTTAGGGGCCTCATTTCTGCCCTGGAAACTAACCCAGCGCAGGCCACGGCTCCTGTGAGAAAGGGCTAGATCATGACTAGGGGGCTGGCCGCCTTGCCCTCAGCAGCCCCCACAGATAGAGGGTCCCTGAACTTCTCATTCTGCTGGAGTTCAGGACAGTAAGCTTCTTACTAACCCAGGAGTGGCTGCTCTTGACCCCTTTGGAGGAAGTTCAGGAAGTTAAACGGTTCATTCTGGAGCTGAAGTAAGTTGTGCCAGGCACATTTTGCCACCAATTTTATTTTATTTTATTTTATTTTATTTTATTTTATTTTATTTTATTTTATTTTATTTTATTTATTGTATTGTATTGTATTTTTTTATGTTTTATTTTATTTATCATTTTATTATTTAATTTTATTATTTTATTCTTGTTAATTCTCACCCAAGAATATTTTTGCATTGATTTTTAGAGAGAGTGGAAGGGAGGGAGAGGGACAGAGAGAGAGAGAAACACAGATGCGAGAGACACATTGATTGGTTGCCTCCTGCACGTGCCCCAGCTGGGGCCAGCGATTGAACCTGCAACCCAGGTATTCGCGCTTGACTGGGAATCGAACCCGTGACCCTTCCATGCATGGGCCAATGCTCTAACCACTGAGCCGCACTAGACAGGGCTGCGTCACTGAAATCTTAGGGGACACTGTGACAGCGTTGTCTACCTACGCCTCACTCTGTCATTTCCTTTGATACAGACCAAAGAGCAGCTCATTGCCTCTGCCAAGAAAGTTGCGACTTCTGGACAGAACTTCGCCAGACTTACCCGCATCATTGCTGAGAACTGCATAGACCACAGGTGTTCTCGGGAGCTCCTGTGTGTCGTGGAGCAGATCCAAACCATGAGCAACCAGCTCCGCATCATCTCCAGGTGGGAAGGCGTTGCGGGAACAGTGTGGGGAACAGCGGTGCTCTGCAGTCTCAGGGCCAGAACCAGGCTGGGGGTGGGGAGGAAATTCCTTTTTTTTTTTGTATACTCCTTTTAATGTTTTATTGTCCAAGAGCTGACACTAATTCTGGGAATTTCCAATGTTGAACATATAGAGAATTCATACAGAGAACCAAAAATACATTGAAGCCACTGTCATTTCTCATTTAATCATGAATAGATTATGTCGGCTAATATACACAAGAAAGAAAAAAGACTTCACATGGAAAACTCGTTCCTGAGTAGGTGCTAACATAAAGTCACCATACGGGATTTTCAGAAATCAAGGACACCTGCACTGACGTTTGCCCCGCCCTTTGCAGCATCGCGCACGCACCCTGGTGCTCGAGTGTCAGGCTCCATCTACAAACACAAGTGATTGATCCCTGCTTTATTATCATGTTTAAAATTTGACCATTAATTCTCTATTTGTTTTTATACTGATCATATCTATCAAAAAAAGCCAGTTATCTCTAAAAATAATCGCAAAGTGGAAGCATTTTCAGTGTCACCCAACCGAGAAAACCTATGGCAGCACCCGGCTTATGTTAATAAGACGAATTCATTTTAAGTGCCCAGGCACCGGAGGTGAGCAGTTTCTGCTAACTGTTCCTTATCCCCTCTGTCACGTTGGTAATATAGAAGGTCATAATAGAAGCATAGACTGGTTCCATTTCAACCTAAGTATCTGAACACCTGCAGTGCCCATTGACCAGTAACAGACGTCTATTAGTAATATTCTGATATTATGGAAAAGCTCATGGTTAAAATTGTTAACAATTATTGTGAGGCATAAAAATAACATCGCCAAGATCAGGGTGTATAAGTTATTTTTATTGATTTTTTTGCGGAAAGAGGGAGAGAGAGATAGAAACATCTATGGGCTTCCTCCTGCACACCCCCTACGGGCCGGCAGCCAGGATATGTGCCCTGACCCGTAATGGAACAGTGGAACCGGTGACCTCTCGCCACAACCAACCGGCTATAAATTGTTTTTAAACTAAAAATAAAACCGGGTTACTGTTATCTAGGGACAGCGATTCTCAATTGGTGTGCCACAAAAAATTTTAGAGCATGCAACATCTGACTGTTTAGTCAGGGGCACAGACCTCTTTTCCGTTAGATTGTCAAATGATAAAATGACAACAGCCAACACAATAGCCGTCCAGTATGAATGAACCAAAATCATGCCTATTTTTTTGTCGGTTCAGTAAAAAATATATTTGTTGGTGTGCCGTGGAATTTTAGTGATTAGTTTATGTGCCATGAATTGGAAAAGGTTGAAAATCGCTGATCTAGGAAATAATATTTCAGGCACATGATCATCTCAAGATTAGCTACTGGAATTTCTCTGCTTAAATTACAGGAACTGCAATTAATTTTAGCATTTCAAATCCGGGTATTGTTATAAGGGTCCTTGGGGTTTGTTTAAATCAGGTACGGTAAGACACGCAAACGTGGAAATGACTGTCATAAAGGAAAGGGACCCCTCGCAAGGCCCTAGAAGCAGGTGCCGTGCAGGGCACTCGGGCCAGGCAGGGTTCATCAAAAGCAGGAGTGTGTGGGAGGGGAACAGACCAGGGACTGACTGTGGTTTCCATGGGAAGGACTAGGTAAGGGAGGGTGAGCAGGCTACACGGGTTTAGAATTGGCTGGTTTGAATAATTTCAGCGGGCTCTGAAGTCCAGAGGCTGTCCCTCGTTGTCTGGTCCCCGGCCCTACTGTGATCAGGGCAGGAACAGGGGCTGGGAGTGGAAGAGCTCCACAGGCAGGAGGTGGGGTGTGGGGT